ATCAGGAAAGGTTTCAAGACCTATATACCTGACAGAAAGGACTGGAAAATGGCAAAACAATCCCCAGGTAGCAATGTAATACACTGGTACACGGATGGCTCGGGCCGCGGACACCAATACGGTGCAGGGATATATGGGCCAAAAGAAAACCACAGAGACAGCTGGTCCATTGGACCCCTGACCACTGTTTTTCAGGCATAAATCCTTGCAATTAAAAACTGCATAGAGCTTCTATGCAGTACGTACGCCTGATGAGGAAGAAGAATTCCAAAAAATTCGAAGAGAAAAAAATGCAGCTCGACAACGAGCACATCGACAACGAAAAAAAAGCAAACTCTAATCAAAGTCCAATCTCATCTAATTCACATGACCATATTATCGATATTGAAGTTCCACAACAGTTATCTGTGCAAGTCCCCATTATTCATGATATGTCTTGAACAAACGATGGACCTGCTGAATCTACATCCTCAAATTTTCATAGTGACATAATAGAACATTACATTGGACCAATGAATGTGTCATGCACCCATTGCAACGCAGTACATTTCGCAGCAGAAAGAGTAGCACGACGTGCTAATTCATTCAATGATTGTTGTAGCCACGGTGAGATTGTTTTAGAACCTTTACCAGATCCACCGGGAATTCTGAGAGATCTATTCAGTGGAACACATCCACAAACTCATCATTTTCGTGAACGTATACGCAGCTATAATAATTCTTTTGCCTTTGCATCTTTTAATGCAAATTTAATCAATTTCAATAATCAACGATCAGGACCATTTTGCTTCAAAGTACAGGGCCAAGTCTACTACCAAATAAACACGTCTCTCTATCCTGCAATCGATGAAAGTCCATCTTATGGTCAATTATTCATAATTGCTGAAAATGAGGCGGCCACTGCTCGGTGTGAAGTGATGTTTACATTGAACAGGGAGATTGTTGAAGCCATTGGTGCCACTCTACGTCAAAACAATGCTTTTGCTCAATCCTATATGATGATGCATGAAGAATTACAACGCGCAGTATTAGATACGGGCGTAGAACCTGAGATGCAATTGTTGTTTTCAACGAGGCCTGGCCTTGACCAAAGACGATACAATCCACAACGCGTCAATGAAGTGGCTGCAGTTTTCACAACAAATGCTGATGGTGAAATTCCGAATTGCTACGTCTCCATTCGCAATAAACAAACCAAAGATTTAAGGAACGTTAATTTCACAGATCCTATTGTGGAACCATGGATATATCCTCTATTTTATCCATTCGGTACACGTGGCTGGCATTCAGATATGCCTTTAGTCAAGAGATCCGGAAGAGTAACACGGGCTGCTTACGTGAAGTATCGAATAGCAACTCGAAGAAATAATATTTTCTTAATGGGTGGACGATTATTCCAGCAGTGGATAGTTGATAATTATGTAAAAGTAGAAAAAGATCGTATAACTTATGCTAAACTCCATCAAAAAGATCTTCGTGTGGACAGTTACACGGGACTCATTGATTATTTGCAAGGAAAAACCAGGGAAACAAATAGTCGAGTTGGAAAAATGATCATTTTGCCGTCTTCATTCACAGGATCTCCTCGAAATATGTTGCAGTATTATCAACACGCAATGGCCCTTGTACGACAATTTATAAAAACCAGATTTGTTCATCACTATGACATGTAATCCAAACTGGAGAGAAATCAAAGAAAATTTGCTGACTCATCAAACGGCTTCTGATAGGCCAGACTTAGTGTCCCGTGTATTTGATTTAAAGAAAAAAGATTAATCCACATGATTGTATGAGAAAAATTGTTTGGTGAAGTACTTGCATATGTCAACGTTACTGAATATCAGAAACGCGGCCTGCCCCATGTGCACCTATTAGTTAGACTGAAACCAAATTTAAAAATAACTACTCCTACCATTGTTGATCGATATATTTCTGCTGAAATTCCGAATCCTGATGATGATCCTGTATTGCACAGTATTGTCATGCGAAACATGATTCATGGCCCATGTGGAGATTGGTGTAAAGATAAAAATGGTAAATGTTCTAAGAAATTTCCAAAACCATTTCAGACAGAGACTGTGATGGATGATAATGGATATCC